CTGGGACCATATAGATCATTGTTGCAACCAAGGTCCTGTAGTGGCACCCAGATCTTGTGCGGTTAGCCAGGGGGTGAGACCGAAGTCCTCCTAGTCTGGCTGGTTTGGTTTGCCTTGGAGGTGGAAAAACCCCAGCCTTGGGCTGTAACTGCCCTGTTTGAGCAATTTGTCCTGAGTTGGCACTCTCAGTTGGGTTCCACCAGAACCGCATTGTCACACCGGGTGAGTCGGTATCCGCCCAAGAACAGGCTCCTCGCGGCACCACAGTTATTTGGGCAGAAGCTTTCGTGGGCTACCGCCGATGAAGGGGCCGTAGCCCACGAAAGCTGATGCTCAAATACATGTGTTAGTCTCTAAGGTGCCGCAAGTACGGAGCCGGCTTTAGGCCGATTTCCCGGAATCGGGCCCCACGCCTCAGGCACCTTTTAAATTTTTTTTACGCACCCGGCGGTGGTCCGCTCGGGGTCTTCAATGCCGCGGAAGACCCGGAGCCAAGTGAAGGACACTCTCCCCCCCCCCCCCGCTGAAGTGTTGCCGAAGACCCGGACCGCCGCCGGGTATTCGAATCGGGCCCCGCATAGGGTGACCAGATGTCCCAATTTTATAGGGACAGTCCTGATTTTGGGGTCTTTTTCTTATATAGGTTCCTATTACCCCCCCACCCCCATCCCGCTTTTTCACACTACGTCTGGGCACCCTAGCCCCGCCGGTCCTAAAGCCGGCCCTGCCCAAGTACCTCTGGTCTTGCTACGACGCCGTTTTCCCGCACGCAGGAATGCGATCTGGTAACCCCCATGCCTGCATTTTCCCCTCGCTTGTTTCCTTTTCCCATGTAACAAGTGGTATGACTGGGTCTATGGGAGCCGGCCGTGCCCCAGTGAATTTAGAAGGGTTTTGTTAAAGGACGACGAGGTAATAACATGGAGACGTAGGGTGACCAGATGTCCTGATTTTATAGGGACAGTCCCGACGTTTGGGTTTTTTTCTTGTATAGGCTCCTATTACCCCGCATCCCCATCCCGACTTTTCACCCTACGTCTGCTCACCCTACCTAGATGTGATGAGAACAATGTGACGTGGACTAGACTGAGTGCGGGTGCGTGGCTGATGTTTGGATGGATAATAAAAGGTCGAGGCGCCGGCCTGAGAATCATAATAAACGACCCCACATCTGGAGGAAGAAAAACCACCACCCTCCGGCAGGGCCGTTTGGCCGCAGAATGGGCTGGGGGATAACCCCGAGGGCACCCCCGGAAACACCCCCCAACCGCCCCCGAGGCCGGGAGGGCCGGAGAACCCAACGACCAGCCGCGATGGATGTGATTGATTCTCACGTCAACCCCGAGACCGGCCTGAACAACCCCCCGAGACGTGTCCCAGGCCGGATCCCTATAAAGACAGACCCTAAAGGCTGTGGACTTCGGGGCTGGTTCTGCCACCAACTTCCAGGAGCCTCGGACGAGGCCCAGCTCCGTCCCCGTGTCCAGGCCGGTGCGCGAGCAACTCCTAGGCTGGGAACTAGAATAAGGACCCGGCCGAACGTGCGTGTGTGAATGTGTGAGCGAACGGGTGTTCACCGGCCGCTGGCTCTAAGTCTGTCTGTAGCCACAATAAACGCCGCGTGTGGCCGTAGCCCCGAGTAACATCCTACGGGGTTTTATTTTCAACAACCGGCCCCCCCGAGAAGGCGTCGCAGGGACGGGCTCCTCCCAGGGGCCGTAGGGGGCCGAGCAAACGCGGGGCCTGGGACACAGGGTGTAGCAGTCAGAGCAGGGGGGGCGGGAGCCAGGACGCCTGGGTTCTCTCCCTGGCTCCGGGAGGGGAGTGGGGTCTAGTGGTTAGAGCGGGGGGGCTGGGAGCCAGGACTCCTGGGTTCTCTCCCTGGCTCT